GGAATTTTGCACTCTCTCTCTCTCTCCCTCTCTCTCTCGCTCTATATGTATGTTTTGCAACCCCTCCCCTCCCCCCAGCTCACGCGCGACCTACCTTGTTGCTGTTTTGTGCGGCCTTTTTTGGGTTTATTTAAATAGTCGTCATAGGTTGCCATAGGTTGCAAAGAATGCTGCGCCATAATTGTGCCCGTAACCCGTTGCCGCCTACATTCAATTGCGTCTGCTGCGTCCTACATTTCCTGCAGACGTAGATGAGACACTGGTGTACCTTGCACACACTTGGTTGATCATTAGGGGCTGTATAACAGCTCTAGACCAGGTCCTACAGTCGTATTCCGTTAAATTCTATTCTGATCACCAAAGCTCGCCTATATTGGAACCTGATTCAGAAACCTGGTCCTAGAACCCCACAACATTAGGATCCACATGAACACCAATAAAGACCCAATGCTGTTTAATCAGGTTCCAACACTAAGTTCTATGACTGCCACCTTTGGTCCTGGGCTGTTGTCAAGCTTTAAGCTGAAGGCCCCTGGGAAAAAAATATACACAGACGCCACAATAAAGAATGCACAAAGAGTCGGTTCTTCGACCGCTTGGATGGCATAAGACAGCCCTGAGTTTCCCTAAATCCTGTTGAAGCGAGCAAGGCCCCTTTGTTCCGGAGTCTCTGTGCTCCGATTACATATTTTGCTTCTGGGCAGACCTTAAGGACCAAAGGGGCGTCAAAAGGATTTAAGGTTCACATAGCATCTAGAATTATCGCATCAGGATTTCGAGCTCCTACTTTTGAGGGCTCCTGAACGGAAGCGATGTGTGAAGAAGCCTGTGGGGAGTTTGACGAGTACCATGAGTGCGAAACTAGAAGTACCGAGAAGGGACTGCTACCGTACCTAGGGGCTCAACGGCTACACCCGGTCCCGGCCTGGTGGACGTCGACTGTTCTCGGTCTGTGCAAACGTACTCAAAAGGGTAAAGACTAGTAAAGACCATCTTCAAGTTTCACAGTAAGGGTCCGTGTGCTACTTTCTTAAATGGGGCCAACGCATAAAGGTTCTAGGGGTTATTCGGGTTCATCGGGCACACCCCCCCCCCCACATTCCAGTACCAAGAGCAAGCACAGCAAGTTTTGGCTTATTTTTATTGCAAGGTAGACCCGGGGGGGGGGGGGTACCACCTTTTTGTTTCTGTCTATGAATAATTATACATATTTTTACATTTCATGTGTCTGTGTGTGTGTGCTCACATGCTTTCATCATTTCCTTCGGAGGCTTCGGAGGAGGGCGGTGAGGGCCATGGCGGCCCTGGCGGATCCAAGTACTCTCGAGCGGAGCTCCGGGCAATGTGCGAGGGCCCAGAAGCGGCCGAGGAGGGGTTTGAATTTGAATGTCTGGGTGCGTGCCTTTGCGCACGTCCGTGCGCAGTGCATCACATGAATGAGCAAGCTCCTTCAACTGAGACTTGCGCGTTCCCGCAGTTTCGCTTTTGAAAAGGGCTGGAAAAGGCAAGAGGAAGGCAGTGGGGCAGGTACACACACTCTCTCTCTCTCTCGACACCCCACGTTGGAATTTCGAGGTTGGTCCTCCACGGGCCTGACGAAGATGAGAACAGCAAAGCGCGCTGTTGCGCAGAGTCTGAGAGTTTGCAGAGTCTGCGCTTTTTTTTTCAATATCCGACAGGAAAGCGAAAGCAACGGTCACTTCTGCAACTGTGCGATGGGTCCGCTCCTCTCCAAAAACACAGCCGGTCACAGCCTCTATCCGTCTCACTCTCCGAGGCGAAGCTCACGGACCTAAAAGGTCGGAGGAGGCCATTTAGACTCTTTAGAATTGGCTGCCGCAGATCGCAGAAGTCAGTTTGCGTTCAGGACGCGGAGGACGAGGTCGCAGAAGCGAGAGGGATAGTTAAACACAAAGGAGGCAGGGGTAGGCAGTTCTTCTGCAGCAAGGTGATCGCCAGGTCCGAGCTTCGCATGCTCGATGGTGTGGGTGCCCTAGAAGGGCAGGAAGATGCAGGAAGCAAGCCATCATCACGTAGCCGCAATTGGTGCTGGCGGTACAGAACAGAATCAGAGAGAGAGAGAGAGAGGGCGGGAGTGGCTGAACAGAGAACATGGCCGCACGTGCACATGCTCGCGCGCGCGCGCGCGCGCCCGCGCGGGGGGAGAGATGCGAAGCTTGGAAATGTGTCTTGAACACGCCAAAGAGGGGAGGCGAGAGGAGAGAGGCAGTTGTAGCGTGTTGGCACCCCCTGCGGTCCGCTGGTCCGGTCACAGTGAGGTTCTCAGTCTTCGAGACCGTTACCTCTCGCAGCTGCGCTGCTTTACTCCGCTGAAGCACTGCCGCATTGCTAGTGCCAAGGAGCAGGCAGCAAGGGACATGGCAGGGTCACGCGAAGGGAAGCTCAAGTCGAGACCTCTACGCAGGCCGTGGATGTGGTGGCCTGAACCTCGGAGAGCCCGAAACAGATTTCTCCCATTCTTCCATGCTCTTAGCCCGTAATTAGAGGCGCGCTGCGCCCTGAACGGCGGCGACCGCTGCGTCATCGTCTTGCGAGGGCGCCTACACAAGCGGCTCCGGACACTGTGTGTGCAGGCAGAAAGTCAAGACCCCCATTACGTTATGCTTGAGTTGTATCAGGCATAAAACATACGATGTCATGTCATATCATACATATCATACATATCTATCTATCTATGTATGTATGTACGTACGTACGTACGAGTAATGTATGTATGTATGTATGTATGTATGTATGTATGTATGTATGTACGTATGTATGTATGTATGTATGTATGTACGTATGTATGTATGTATGTATGTATGTATGTATGTATGTATATGCATGTGCATGTGCATGTGCATGTGCATGTGCATGTGCATGTGCATGTGCATGTGCATGTGTATGTGTATGTGTATGTGTAGGTGCATGTATGTATGTATGTATGTATGTATGTATGTATGTATATATTTATGTGTATATATATATATATGTGTATGTATGTGTACATATATATATATATATAACACTCTATATGCATATAATTGCATATATACAGCATTATGCGATTGTCCGTTGCATATCAGTATATCCTATGTATCTTGTAGTATACAGGACAATGTACTGGAAATTGCGTTGCCTGCAGATTCGCCTTCTCAGGCACGATGGTTCCACGGCCGTGTTGGGTGCCCCACCCTCGTCCGACACTAAGAGGATCAATGCGTCTGTTCAGCCTGTAGAAATGCCAGAATGCAACAAGGCTCGATGGCGGAGGCGCGCAGAGATCGAAGTTCACCAGTTCTCTTCCCGTCTGGCCGTGGAGGTGATAGCGACACCGACGTGGGGTTCGCCACCTGGGGATGTTCAAGCGGGCTGGTGTTCTTTCCAGCGGAATGTGGCTGCTGCAATGTATACATGCGTGTACAGTCATTGTAATGCTATGTCAGTTGATGCAAGGGAACAAGCAAGACGAGCCATAACGAGTGCAGGCTATATCACGGCGAAGGCCTCTCAAGAAATTCGGCAGAAAGACAGCCTAACGTCGCTTCTAAAGCTACAAGAAACTCTTTCTAAGCCTAAGCCCCCTTCAGCCTTCAGCCCAGCCCAGAGGTCACCCTCGGCTGCTTCGCCGAAGTTAAGTCTCAGAGCTTCGGCAGTGCGAGGAGCCCTTAGGATGCAGGAGCTGCTCGGCTACAGTCACGGTTTTTGCGGGCGTTGACTTCGCGGGGTCTTAGGGTTCAATATGGTTCAATGTTTCTGGTGAAAAAGGGCACCTCCTCTTCTTTTTCAGAGTGTAGAGAGGTGTAGCTTGCCGTGTTCTACGTTGGCAAAATGGCCAGGAGCGCTTTACCTACCACAGGGTTCAACGAGAACATGGTCGAGGCTATTGTTCTGGCACAAGGAGTCCCTCATCCGTCCTGCGGACGCTCTAGCTCGAAGAAGTGAAAAGCACTCTCTACCCAGCAATAAGCTGCTGACAACATTTCGATTAAATATTTCTTGTCTCAAGTCGCCGAAGCTGCGAGCTGAGGCACGTCTAAGTAAAATGCGGAAACATCAGAGTTCCTGTTCACGTGGCCTCCTGAACTTCTCAACTTGGTGCTGAACCTGAGAAAGGCAAAGCCCAAGACCCAAGACCGATACCTCACCAGAGAAGACTTTACGACTCTTCAGACTCGCTCAAAACCGCTACACAAAAGCGCAACTCTGCTTTCTCAGGATGTTGAAAGGCGGCACTCAGAAGCTCAGCGCGCTTTGCCCGGCCCTGGCGGCCGGAGTCCGAGAGGGCGGGATCCGGCCGAAGGGCGACCCGGCCGTCGAATCCGGCGGACCCTTCGGCTGCGCATCTGCTGTGCCTGCCGCTGCCTGCGACTCGACTCGGCTGCCTTTGCTGCCCTTTCGAGGTGACGGTGGACGAAGACGACCATCTCATGCAGGCGCCAGCGGCAGCTAGCCGCGCAATGAGCCGCGCTTAGTGAGCCGCGGCCTGCGGGCAGGTGATGGGGAAGTTGCGGTCTCAAAACTCTTCCAGCGCCATCGTGGCCGCACGCTCAGAGGGAGCTCTCGCGGGCAGCTGCAGCGCGCTTTTTTGGCAGGTCCGTCCCTCCTTGGACGGCGGGGCCGCCTTGTGCTGAGCCTTGCCGAGGGGGGCTCTCAGAGTGCAGTGTGCTCTGCAGTTCCGGTCGTGGCGGCCTGGCCTCTCTGAGGACACCGTGCGTGGTGTCGTCCACGTCTCACAGGCGCGGCCCAGCCTGCTGCCCACGGGCAACACCATTTCAAGGAGGAGAGATCCGATCCGGTCAACGTGAGGTGGTGTCCTTCTTGATGACGGCCAAAGACTTCAGCCGGGAAGGTACCAAGGAGATGCCGGGGGCCGATGCGCAACTGGGCCCTGGTTGGGCCCTGCCAAACGATACGCGTAGAGGCGCTTTGTCCTTTTTGGCTCCCGAGGTGGAGCCCCTCGGTGTCACCAGGCCGAAGGGACAGCGAGTGGACAGCGAGTCAGCGCTCAATTTTGGTCCGGCCTGCGAACGCAGAGGCTTTCGGCCGAACAACAACGCTCAGAGGCCGCTTTCAAAGGTTTTGCCTCGCACGGCCCTCGCGGCGGCCCTGCAGGCGTCATCCGCTGGCCCGGGCCAGGTGCACCGCCCCGCCCCACCCGAGAGAGCCGACCTGACGAGCAGCGGGCGCGGCGCGCGGCGCGCGGAGCGGCGGCGCGCGGAGCGGCAGGTCCAATCTGGGAGATGCGGGGCTCGCCAGCCAAACCCAAACCATGACGCTTGGCGAAGAGTCGAAGAGCCCGGTGAGCTGCGGTGCACAGCCTCTGCACTTCTCAGGATGCGGTTCCGCCGCACCATGCACCACGAGGAGCTGCAGAGAGTTCCCGTTCCCGGGCCCTTCTGTCGAGCGCAGCTCGCACCACGAGGACGCTCCGAAGGTGCAGTTTCAGATTGAGCGCAGCCACAGCAGGTAGTCTCACCGGTTTCACCCACTACGGACATCGCTTCGGAAACGAGACATGAAACAAGGAGACATGCTGTCATGCTACTGTAGCTGCTGCTCTTGGATCAAGCATCCGGAACCGAAAGCCTTTCGACTGACGACTCCGTTCAGGCCTGAGGTTGTCACTCATGTCGCTGTGCCGCGGTCCTCCGGCCGGACGCCGCAGGCCGCAGGTGGAAGCTCTTCGCGCACCCAGCACCGCCGGAGCGTCGGAGACTTGGAAGAGTGCTAGGCAGAAAGGCTTATGTTCTGGGACTATATTAAAGGTTTGCAGAGGCGTTTTCCAAGCCGAAGCTGATGTGTGAACTTCAGGAGTTCAGATTGTGTCTTGATCAGCATTCTGTCTCTTTATTCCATGCGTGACAGCCTTCGCGGCTTGCAAAGGTCAGAAACCCCGCGAGCGACATGGGCGAGGTCAGGCTGCGTCGCATCAGGGTTTAAAGTGTTTAAAGTCAAGCCTGACTTAAGTCTTCCACCTTCCGAGTTTCGAGCCTAAAGCTCGTGAGTCTTGCAGTCTGAGTCCTGCTCTGCCGCTCTTTGGCTCCCAATGTGAAAAAAAGGAGGTCCCTGGCTTTCTCTGTCGCCAAAAGCGCTGTTTGTGAGATGCGGCTTTGGCTCTTACTCGTGGTGAGAGTCGCCCCCATTGGAGCGCTTTCAGAGGCAGACGACGAGTGTTGGACGTCGAAGGATTGCGCAGTGAGTGCCTTGCAACGTCGAAGCTGGACCTCAACAGCCTCAGCAGAGCTCCAAAACACCTCCGCGTCCGCGGCTTCTACTGCTTCCGCGTCTGAGCTTCGCATCTACCAATGGAATCCCCATTGGCAATGCTTCTACCAGAAAACACACAGCACATGCAAGGAGCGGGGCAAGGCCCTTTTGAATCGTGGCTTACGGAACATGCAGATTGATTTCGCGAATGTCATTGAACTTGTCGATCCTTCTTACAGGCCCCCGGGAGGCTTTCAGATGCTGAAAGCCACCTGCAACAGCAAAGAGAATGCCCTGTTGATCTACGACTCATCCAAGTGGAAGCCTTCTAGTAGAGGAGGGTCTCGTGTCTCCGGGTGCATCACGAGGAAGGATCGTGCCTTTAACGTGCAAATGTTCGAGTCTGTCCGTGGTTCTCCACTGTCTCAGGTTGTGGTTGTGGGTGCACACTACCCGCATTACATCAATGTGCCAAGACTCAGAGACTCCCTTGCTCAGGTCACGCATTCCACGGGGGTCAAAAACGTGATCTTCATCGGGGACACCAATCAGGAGAACGGTGACAGCATGGATGTAGCCCGGGCTCTTGGAATGCCAATGGCACATTCCATTCGCTCCTCCCCACTTTTCGTCAGCTGCTGCCACAAAGTCAACGAGGGCTTCGTCTGGAAGTTCGATCGGATCATCACGAACTTCGGCCGCATGACAGATGCAGGGGTCTTCGAGGTGCCTTCTTGGGCAGCGCCCTCCATGCACAGAGCTGTGCACGCCAAGATCCAGCTCTCCTAGACAATTTCCCCTCTGATGCAGTACTGACGGAAAGCATCAAAGATGTTTTTCTCTCTTTCAACGACCGGATCTTGATTGAAGCATGTTGAAAAGCTCCAGAGACACAGAGTTGAACCTGGAATACCCGCGCGAAATCGTGCGGGGATCACGGAAACCCACACCCGCCCACACCTGCAAAACCGCTCTCAGTTCGATTGGAAGACCTCCCACCTTGCACTTCACCTACAAGCCCTCGCCCCAGAAAGCCCGAAATCTGGACCCAATTCTTAAGTTTGAGAGCATCAGGACCGACCTGACAGATTTGAAGCAGGCACCAAGTGACTTCACAGTCCTCGCGTAGTGGTGCTTGCACTTCACACGTGAGGCAGCTCACAGTATTCTCGACAAGGGCATGGCATCCTTCAGGGATGTTCACAGCATCGAAAGAGCCCCGATCCTCAGCGCTTAGCTTCAGCTTGCTCCATGGCGTTCATTTGTTCGGCAGTCGAGGTGCTTCTGCTACACCTGATTCGAGATCACCATCTGGACAGACACTGGCAGTTCGGCTCTGCTGTATATATTGGTAGCAGCCTCTCACAGAGAAGTCATCATATGTTACGCAGGGCATGTTGCCAGGATCCGATCTTCGCACCTATGGACGCTTGGGTGCAAGATCTTCGGGCTGGAGGACTGCCACTGTGGTGGCGCTTGCGTAGGACATGCGAGTCCCGGGATGCCTTCGCCAGGAGACGGTCGCCAAGCCCTGGCTGAAGGGCCTAGAAGCCCTGGCTTCAAGGGCTCGGAGCTCGTGAACGGGTACCGATGTGGTGATGGACCCCGAGGCCTTAGAGCTTCTCGGTGCTTGCATAGGCCACTCTCATACAAAGCTTTCCTGTGCAGCATCACCACAGGCAGCGGCCGATCGACTGCAGGCGGAAGAGGGAAAAGAGCTACACACCCAGATTGAGCCGCATCCATGCCTTGACAATAGCGGCTGGCTGCAGTCAAGGCGACTTCGCCAGATTCAAGAATCGATTCCGGACGACAAGGCCGCACACTTGTTCTTTCAGTTGCGAGATGTTTGTTACGCGTTCGCTGATTAAGAATGAAATCTGAAGCACAAAGGAAACAAGAACCCCAGGAACTAGCGCCTGAAGCCCAAGGAGAAGATTCCATGGCACCTGTTGTCCGCTAGTGAGACTCGAGAATCCAAGTGTCTGGACTGTTCACCTGGTGTTATGGCTCATTTCCAGGTTACGTGCTGTGTTTAATTATAATAAAGACAAACAAATGAGGAACAAGTGCGTGTTGTCTTTATTTTAATTAAATTCAGCACCCCATTTTCTGTTTTCTTTGTTTCATTGTGCTTTCTTCTCGCTTCCGTTTCTCTTCATTGAAAGAAAGCACAATAGAAAGCAAAGAGCACAGGAAATGAGGAGTGAGCGAAGTGAGCGTTGTTGTTGTTCGTTTGTTCTTTGCTTTAATTATAATGTAACGAAGTGGAAGCATGAATTAAAGCAAAGAGAAAACAAACAACGGAAAGATAAAGAGAAGAGGAACAAAGAGAACACGCTTCCTTTCACTTCGCTCACTTCATTGTTTCTCTTTGTTCTCTTCTTCTTTTCTTTCATTAAATATAATGTAACGTGGTTTGTTTACTTAAAATAGAAGCGAAACAAGTGGAATAAAAAGTAACGCGTGTTCGCTTCATTTTAATTAAATAAACCACCCTTCCTCGCTTCTCCTTTCTTTCTTTTGTTTCATTCAGTTCATGCTTCCATTTCTGCCATTATAACTGAATGAAAGCATAAGAAAGAGGAGCGAGAGGAAGGTGAGAAAGGTAAGAGGAATATGAAGAACACCGCCTGAATTATTCTCTCGACCGTTGATGGTAGGTGGATAGTGGTGGTTCTTTTCTTTAATTAAAACATAAGGAAGAGAAAAGA